CATGCAACATATCATAGTCCTTCTTTAGGGGTCCCTTTCAAATATATGATATTATATCTCTGTTTGTGTGAATCATATATAACTATCTATATCTATGGCTGGATGGCCCTTTGCCAGGAGGGCTCTGATTACATTTTCTTGCCCTGGTGAAGAGAGTTGGAGTGGATGGCCTTAAGTGGAAAAAGGGAGAAATCACCAAAGAAGAATTCAAACAAATAGCCAACACCTGTAGGGAAAAGGTCCGCAAGGCTAAAGCAAAAAACGAGCTCAGACTTGCCAGGGACATTAAAAACAATAAAAAGGGCTTCTATTCTTATGTCAGTAGAAAAAGGAAAAACAAGGAGGCGATAGGACCTCTTCGCGGAGAAGATGGGGCAATGCTGACAGGGGATAGGGAAAAGGCAGAACTACTTAATGCCTTCTTTGCCTCGGTCTTCTCACAAAAAGAGAGTCTTCAACCTCAGCAAGATGGAGTGGATGAGGGATTGGAGGACATCCAACCCCAAATTGGGAAAGAAGTCGTCCTTAATGAGTTCAAGTCCCCAGGGCCAGATCAACTACACCCCAGAGTATTGAAGGAACTAGCGGAAGTCATTTCGGAACCATTGGCAACCATCTTTGAGAGTTCTTGGAGAACGGGAGAAGTTCCAGCAGATTGGAGGAGGGCCAATGTGGTCCCAATCTTCACGAAGGGAAAAAAGGATGACCCAAACAACTACCGTCCGGTCAGCCTCACGTCAATACCAGGCAAGATTCTGGAAAAGATTGTTAAGGAAGTGGTCTGCAAACACTTAGAAACAAATGCGGTCATCGCTAATAGTCAACATGGATTTATCAAAAACAAGTCATGCCAGACTAATCTGATCTCTTTTTTCGATAGAGTTACAAGCTGGGTAGATGCTAACAATGCCGTGGATGTGGCGTACCTGGATTTCAGTAAGGCCTTCGACAAGGTCCCCATGACCTTCTGGCAAGGAAACTAGTCCAATGTGGGCTAGGCAAAACTAGAGGTGGATCAGTAATTGGTTAAATGGATGAACCCAGTGGGTGCTCACCAATGCTTCCTCTTCGTCCTGGAAAGAAGTGACAAGTGGAGTGCCACAGGGTTCCGTCCTGGGCCCGGTCCTGTTCAACATCTTTATTAATGACTTAGATGAAGGGCTAGAAGGCATGATCATTAAGTTTGCAGACGACACCAAATTGGGAGGGATAGCCAATACTCCAGAGGACAGGAGCAGGATTCAAAGGGATCTTGACAGATTAGAGAGATGGGCCAAAACTAACAAAATGAAGTTCAACAGTGACAAATGCAAGATACTCCACTTTGGCAGAAAAAATGAAATGCAAAGATACAGAATGGGTGACGGCCTGGCTCGAGAGCAGTACGTGTGAAAAAGATCTTGGAGTCCTCATGGTGGAGGCAGGTGAACATGAGCCAACCATGTGTGATGCGGCAAAAAAAGCCAATGGGATTTTGGCCTGCATCAATAGGAGCATAGTGTCTAATCTAAGGAAGTCATGCTACCCCTCTATTCTGCTTTGGTTAGACCACCTGGAATATTGTGTCCAATTCTGGGCACCACAATTCAAGAGAGATATTGACAAGCTGGAATGTGTCCAGAGGAGGGCGACTAAAATGATCACGGGTCTGGAGAACAAGCCCTATGAGGAGCGGCTTAAGGAGCTGGGCATGTTTAGCCTGAAGAAGAGAAGGCTGAGAGATATGATAGCCATGTATAAATATGTGAGAGGAAGCCACAGGGAGGAGGGAGCAAGCTTGTTTTCTGTTTCCTTGGAGACTAGGATGCGGAACAATGGCTTCAAACTACAAGAGAGGAGATTCCATCTGAACATTAGGAAGAACGTCCTGACTGTGAGAGCCGTTCAGCAGTGGAACTCTCTGCCCCGGAGTGTGGTGGAGGCTCCTTCTTTGGAAGCTTTTAAACAGAGGCTGGATGGCCATCTGTCAGGGGTGATTTGAATGCAATATTCCTGCTTCTTGGCAGGGGGGGGGACTGGATGGCCCATGAGGTCTCTTCCAACTCTTTGATTCTATGATTCTAATTTTTCTGTTGCTCATGGGGGTTCTGCGAAGTGTAGCCGAATTCTATCGTTGGTGGGGTTCAGAATACTCTTTGATTGTAGGTGAACTATAAATCCCAGTAACTACAACTCCCAAATGTCAAGGTCTATTTTCCCCAAACTCCATCTGTGTTCATATTTGGGCATATGGAATATTCATGCCAAGTTTGGTCCAGATCCATCATTGTTTGAGTCCACAGTGCTCTCTGGATGTAGGGGAACTACAACTCCCAAACTCAAGGTCAATGTCCACCAAACCTTTCTAGTGTTTTCTGTTTGTCATGGGAGTCCTGTATGCCAATTCCATCATTGGTGGAGTTGAGAATGTTCTTTGAGTGTAAGTAAATCATAAATCCCAGCAACTACAACTCCCAAATGACAAAATATTTTTTAGTGATGGTAATTACTTGGGTTAGTAGGTGTCTTGTGGCCAAATTTGGCCGCAATTTATCCAGTGGTTTTTGAGTTATGTTAATCCCACAAACGAACATTACATTTGTATTTATATAGATGATGTGCAATGGAACTAAAAATTAGCGTTGGCAAAAGAGATGGTGTCACAACAGCTGAGATGTATTGAAAAGTCATGCCAAATTCTTTGAGTTGCTAATGTGTACCTAACAATTTTCACAACCTTTATTTTCTTTTACTGAACCAACGTTTTAGTACATTTTTACAGACAGGCCAATTAACATTGCTTCACGCTGTAACGGCTGCTTATCCTTAAAATGAGTACATTTTTAGGCTTGGTTTAACATTAAACATATTCAATCTGATCTCTTCCCTCAGGGCCTTGAACATTTCCCAATGCAAACAGCTCTATGCAAATCATCTTATTTAAAAACAATTCAAGCCAACATTTCCCAGAGAACCCATATCACAAATGATCAGGCACCTTGGCTATCTCTAGAATGAATGCAGCTTGCCACCACTTTTAAGTGCCATCATGGCTCAGTGCTATGGCATCCTGGCCTCTCTTTTCAGTGAAAGTGCTTAAATGCAGGGGAATTGGAGGCAGGGACAGCCCTGGAGGGGTTGAGATGTCTGGCAGGGAAACAAGGAGACAACTGCAAGAAGAGCTGCTCCTGGTGACTCCGGTAGCAATTAAGTCGAACATGACCTCCCCCCCCCCCCCCCCCGGGTACAGCTAGTAGGGCATAAAACCTTGAAAATGATACACACTATCTAACATGGGAAGGGTGCTTGTTGTTGTTGTTAGTGTCTTGGCAAATTGACCAAGGCTCAACCCTTATTATCCAGTCTGGTGTCCTTGTCCTTAGCAAAACTCTAAGTTACTATCTTTTATTTATGATGGTTGTTGGAGTGATCCAGCATTTCTGTGTTCTTGAATAATATGCTGTGTCCAGGTTGGTTCATCAGGTGCTCTGCTCCAACAACCACCATGTCAGACTATTTATTTATTTTATTTACTTTGCTTGTATACCGCAATTTCTCAGCCTTGTAGGCGACTCAACGCGGTTTACAACAAGAGCAAAAGTCAATCCAACAGCATACAAAATTTAAAAACCATTAACAGCATAATATACAAAATGACACATCAATAACAACACATTAACGTCTCGTAACTAGAATCGTGATCCAATTCGTCTTCCATAATTCTGTTTCCTATATTCATCGTGTACATTGCATTGTTTAACCGAACGCCTGTTCGAACAGCCAGGTTTTTAGTTTTCTTCGAAACACCATTAACGAAGGGGCTGATCTAATGTCCATGGGAAGGGCGTTCCACAGCCGAGGGGCCACCACAGAAAAGGCCCTGTCCCTCGTCCCCGCCAGCCATGCCTGTGATGCAGGCGGGATCGAGAGCAGGGCCTCCCCAGAAGATCTTAGAGTCCTGGTGGGTTCATAAGCAGAGATACGTTCGGATAGGTAGCTTGGGCCAGAACCGTTTAGGGCTTTAAAGGCCAACGCCAGCACTTTGAAATGAGCCTGGTAGCAAATTGGCAGCCAGTGGAGCTGGTGCAGCAAAGGAGTTGTATGCTCCCTGCGCTCCGCTCCTGTTAGTATCATGGCTGCCGCACGTTGGACTAGTTGGAGCTTCCGAGCCGTCTTCAAAGGCAACCCCAGTAGAGAGTGTTGCAGTAGTCTAAACGGGATGTAACCAGAGCGTGGACTACCGTGGCCAAGTCAGACTTCCCAAGGTACAGGCGCAGCTGGCGCACAAGTTTTAACTGTGCAAATGCTCCCCTGGTCACCGCCGAAACCTGGGGTTCCAGGCTCAGCGATTCCGACTACACAGAGAAGCCATTGAAATCCACAAGCATGTGGACAATTTCAACAGAAAGGAGGAAACCATGAAAATAAACAAAATCTGGCTACCAGTATTAAAACTCTAAAATTAGAACAGCACAACAACAGAGAGGAAACAAACAAGGACATCTAATCACCTCTCAACAAAAAATTGCTCCAGGCACTGTCAGGCCATTATATGCTAATCAAGGTGGTCAGTTGAAACATTCACACCTAGCTCCAGCAGACAAAAGTCCTTTGTCCCACCCTGGTCATTCCACAGATATATAAACCCATTTTTCCTACTTCCAACAGACCTCACTACCTCTGAGGATGCTTGCCATAGATGCAGGCGAAACGTCAGGAGAAAATGCCTCTAGACCATGGCCATATAGCCCGAAAAAACCTACAACAACCCAGTGATTCCGGCCATGAAAGCCTTCGACAATACATTGAACATTACATTTTTATTTGTATAGAAGATTGCTCTATTCATCCACCTATCTTCCTCCATGCGTGTGTATGTATGTATGTATCTCTCTCACTGCCCATCTGCCCATGCTTGGACCATGGAGGAGAGCAGGTCGAGCTCCACCCCTGTCCCTGTCCCCGCCCACCCCGCTCTAAGCCCCGCCCCTTTCGAATGTTTCCCTCCCGGGAGGCGTGGCCACAGCGGCGGGCCGGATGGGGGAGAGCGGGGTGCCTGCGGGGGCCCAGCTGCTGCTCCGCGCCTGCGACCAGGGCGACTGCGAGAGCGCCCGCCGCCTCCTGCTCCCGGCTCCAGGCACCCCGGCGGAAGAGGCTGAGAACGAGGCCGGCTCTGCGGCAGCGGCGGGGGCGCCTGCGGGGGGCTTGGTGCCCGTGGATTGCGCCGACGAGGCCGGCAACACGGGGCTGCAGTTCGCGGCGGCCGGCGGGCACGAGGAGATGGTGGGCTTCCTCCTGCGGAGGGGCGCCTCGGTGCAGAGCCGCAACCACTGCGGGTGGAGCCCGCTCATGCAGGCCGCCAGGTCAGGACCGGGCTGGGAAGGAAGGAGGGAAGAAAGGGCACCATCTAACGGGGCGGCCCATCTCTCCTTGGCCCAGGAGCAGGCCCGCTTTCAAGGGAAGGCCTTTCAAGGAAGGCCCCACAGCGCCCTCTGCCGGCCGATGGGAAAAGCTCAGCCCTGGGTTAATGATTTGCTTCCCACTGAACCAAGTGGTGCGTGGTCGCTGCCTGAAGAGCACTGAGGCCCCTTCCACATCTGCATAAAATCTACATTGAACTGGATTATATGGCAGTGTGGACTCAGATAACCCAGTTCAAAGCAGATATTGTAGCTTATCTGCCTTGCTATTCAGGGTTATATCTATGGCAGTGTGGAAGGGCCTTGACTCTCTGCTATGAAAAGGAATGAAACCCACCAATCAGGCTTCCTCCAACTACACAACTCCAGCAGTTTGGGACTCCAGCTCCCAGAATTCCTGACCATTGAACAATATGGCTAGAGCTTCTAGGAGTTGCTAATTATTTATTTATTGTGTCAGGCAACCCTAGCAGAACTATTCTAAGTTTAATGTATTGTCGAAGGCTTTCATGGCTGGAATCACTAGGTTCTTGTTGGTTTTTTCGGGCTATATGGCCATGTTCTAGAGGCATTTTCTCCTGACGTTTCGCCTGCATCTATGGCAAGCATCCTCAGAGGTAGTGACTACCTCTGAGGATGCTTGCCATAGATGGAGTTATGGTTCAGGCAAGATATAGACCAGGGGTCCTCAAACTATGGCCCGAGGGCCGGATACGGCCCTCCAAGGTCATTTAACCGGCCCTCGCTCAGGGTCAACCTAAGTCTGAAACGACTTGAAAGCACACAACAATAACAACAATCCTATCTCATCAGCCAAAAGCAGGCCCACACTTCCCATTGAAATACTAATAAGTTTATATTTGTTAACATTGTTCCTCATTTTAATTATTGTATTGTTTTGAAGTGTTTTTTACACTACAAATAATGTATGTGCAGCGTGCATAGGAATTCATGTTTTTTTTCAAATTATAATCTGCCCCCCTAGCAGTTTGAGGGACTGTGACCTGGCCCTCTGTTTAAAAAGTTTGAGGACCTCTGCTCTAGAACATGGCCATATAGCCCGAAAAAACCCACAAGAACCAAACAAACAAACATACAAAATACACAGAGTTTGCAAGCTTGGTAGTTGATTAAATGTCCTTTGACCAGCATCTGGCCACTTGGAGTGCTTCTGGTGTTGCCGCAAGAAGGTCCTCCATGGTGCATGTAGCAGGGCTTGGGCTGCATTACAGCAGGTGGTCTGTAGTTTGCTCTTTTTCACCACACTCGCATGTTGTGAATTCCACTTTGTAGCCCCATTTCTTGAGGTTGGCTCTGCATCTCGTGGTGCCAGAGCGCAGTCTGTTCAGCACCTTCCAAGTCGCCCAGTCTTCTGTGTGCCCAGGGGGGAGTCTCTCATTTGGTATCAGCCATTGGTTGAGGTTCTGGGTTTGAGCCTGCCACTTTTGGACTCTCGCTTGCTGAGGTGTTCCAGCGAGTGTCTCTGTAGATCTTAGAAAACTATTTCTTGATTTAAGTCGTTGGCGTGCTGGCTGATACCCAAACAAGGGATGAGCTGGAGATGTCTCTGCCTTGGTCCTTTCACTATTGGCTGCTACTTCCCGGCGGATGTCAGGTGGTGCAATACCGGCTAAGCAGTGTAATTTCTCCAGTGGTGTAGGGCGCAGGCACCCTGTGATGTCTCTACTCTTTACTATTTTATCGAGATTGGACATTGCTCTCCTCCCAAGAAGTAAGCGTCTTCTGATTTCCTGCAGTCTGCATCTGCAGTAATCTTTGCACCTAGAAATACAAAGTCTGTCACGGCCTCCACATTTTCTCCCTCTATGATCATATTAAATACCACTAAAAATAAATGGGATTCAATGCTCACATTTGCATGTTTTCAAACTGCTAGGTTGGCAGAAGCTGGGGCTGACAGCGGAAGCTTACACTGCTCCCTGGATTCGAACCTGTGACCTTTCAGTCAACAAGCTCAACAGCTCAGCGCTTTAACCCACTGCGCCACTGGGGGCTCCTCTGCTAATAATAATAATATTGTGTGATCCAATACAACAGCCAGCAGAGTGATCTTGTTTGCTGTGGACTCATGTTGTTGTGTTTCTAATAATAATAATAATAATAATAATAATAATAATAATGTATTGTCGAAGGCTTTCATGGCTGGAATCACTCAGTTCTTGTGGGTTTTTTCGGGCTATATGGCCATGTTCTAGAGGCATTTCTCCTGACGTTTCGCCTGCATCTATGGCAAGCTTCCTCAGAGGTGAGGTCTGCTGGAGCTGGGAAAAAAGGGGGTTTATATATCTGTGGAATGACCAGGGTGAGACAAAAGGCTTTTGTAAGTGGGCTAGGTGTGAATCTTTTCAACTGACCACCTTGATTAGCATACAATGGGCTGACTGTGCCTGGGAGTCTACATAGGGACCACCAAACGCAGTGCCCAAACACGAATCAAGGAACATGAAAGGCACTGCAGACTACTTCAACCAGAGAAGTCAGCCATAGCAAAGCACCTGATGAACCAACCTGGACACAGCATATTATTTGAGAACACAGAAATGCTGGACCATCCTCACAACCACCATGTCAGACTATACAGAGAAGCCATTGACATCCACAAGCATGTGGACCATTTCAACAGAAAGGAAGAAACCATGAAAATGAACAAAATCTGGCTACCAGTATTAAAAAATTCTAAAATTGCAACAGCAAAAACAGCAGAGAGAAAAACAGGCAGGGACATCTAATCACCTTTCAAGAAGAGTTTGCTCCAGGCACAGTCAGCCCATTGTATGCTAATCAAGGTGGTCAGTTGAAAGATTCACACCTAGCCCAACTTACAAAAGCCTTTTGTCTCACCCTGGTCATTCCACAGATATATAAACCCCTTTTTTCCCAGCTCCAGCAGACCTCACCTCTGAGGAAGCTTGCCATAGATGCAGGCGAAACGTCAGGAGAAATGCCTCTAGAACATGGCCATATAGCCCGAAAAAACCCACAAGAACTGAATAATAATAATAATTGCAAAGACTGGCACAAGCCAGTCAAGGTGGTCCCAGTGGTGATTGGCACACTGGGTGCAGTGCCTAACGACCTTGGCCTGCACTTAAACACAATCGGCGCTGACAAGATTACCATCTGCCAGCTGCAAAAGGCCACCCTACTGGGATCTGCACGCATTATTCGCCGATACATCACACAGTCCTAGACACTTGGGAAGTGTCCGACGTGTAATCCACTACAACAGCCAGCAGAGTGTCTGCTGTGGACTCATCTTGTTGTGTTTCAAATAATAATAATAATAATAATAATAATAATAATAATGATGTCATCATCATACCAGGTGACAGTCGCATTGAGGAAAAACAACAGGAAAAACTGAGCCAATCAGGACCTCAAAATCGAACTGCAAAGGCTCTGGCATAAACCAGTACAGGTGGCCCCAGTTGTCATCGGCACACTGGATGCCATGCCAAAAGATCTCAGACGGCATTTAGAAACAATAAACATTGACAAAACCACGATCTGTCAACTGCAGACGGCCACCTTACTTGGATCTACGCATATCATTCGAAAATACATCACACAGTCCTAGATGCTTGGGAAGTGTTAGACTTGCGATTTTGTGATAGGAAATCCAGCATATAGATCTCATTTGCTGTGACATACTATGTTTTTGTGTCCGTAAAATAATAATAATATTGTGTGATCCAATACAATAGCCAGCACAGTGATCTTATTTGCTGTGGACTCATCTTAAAATAACATCTTAAAATCCTAAAATAACAAAACAATATTTAAAATGAAGCACCAACATAAGTTTACCAGTATTTCAGTGGGATGTGTGGGCCTGCTTCTGGCTGATGAGATAGTTAAGTCAATTAGGATAGTTGTCCTTGGGTGCCTTCAAGTCATTTCAGACTGTGGGCCATCTAAAGTTTAGTAAAGTCTAAAGTTTAGGGTAGTGGCTGGGTAAGTGGCCTCGGAGAGGTGCATCCAGCCCACGGCCTTAGTTTGCGGACCCCTGGTATAAAATAAATGTAGTTTGATGCCACTTGAACTGCAATGGCTCTTTGAATATGGACTCTGAGAGCTGCAGTTTGGTGAGGCACCAGCCTTCTTTGGCAGAGGAGGCTGAATACCTCGTAAACCTACAACTCCTAGGATTACCTAGCATGGAGCCATGATAGTTAAAGCAGCAATTGCACTTTCACCCTCCTGGGTGTTGTAACTTTTTCCTGTATTTTTTTTTCCCCATCAAAGATTTGGACATCTAACTGTGGCTCGCATCTTGCTGGAAAATGGTGCGGACCTTAATGCACAGAACAAATTGGGAGCCAGTGTCCTGACCATGGCCTCGAGGGGTGGCCACATCAGTGTGGTGAAATTGCTGCTGGAAGCTGGTGCATATGTTGACAACTATGACCACTTGAATACTTGCTTGGACAACATGAAAGAGGAATTACCAGCTATCACCCCTCTCATGGCCGCTGTCCAGCATGGACACGAGGCAGTTGTCCATCTTCTGTTGGATTGGGGTGCTGATTGGAATTACACTTCAAATACTATGGGGTGGACTCCACTGATGTTGGCAGCTGCTACCGGAAGGGTGAGTTTGGCCCAACAACTTATGAGCAGAGGAGCCAATCCTGACCATATGAATATGCTGCATAAAACACCGTATGAGATATCTGTTGACTTCAGACATGACGATATGAAAGACTATTTGGCACCTTTAACCACCGTTAGACCCCAAACAGGTATGGATTGCTTACCTTTCATTGTGTCGTGAATTGGCCAAAATAATGATTTTCTTGAGCTTGAGAATACTTGCCCCACTCTGGCCCTCTACAAAGGGTGCGTGTGACAGTAATGACAATACTTGCTTGGCAAGAGATTAAGATTGATGGTAAAAAGAGGGCCATCTATAACTCGGGTGTCAAACTTATTTTTACTGAGGGCCACACCAGCATTATGGTTGCCTTCAAAGGGACTTTTATCATTGCAAGACTACCGTATATACTTGAGTATAAGCCAACCCGAACAAAGCCGAGTAACCTAATTTTACCACAAAAAAACCCGGGAAAATATATTGACTCAATTACAAGCCAAAGGTGGGAAATGCAGCAGCTACTGGTACATTTCAAAATAAAAATAGATACCAGTAAAATTACATTAAATGAGGCATCAGTAGGTTAAATGTTTTTGAATATTTACCTAAAACTGTAATTTAAGATAAGATTGTCCAACTCTGATTACACCATTATTCTAAGCTTCAATGTAAATGTGCTTATGTATTCATGCAATAATAATAGAGTAAAATAATAAATGCAATAATAATAAAGTAAAATTATAAATGTAATAATAATAAGAGTAAAATAATAAATGTAATAATAATGATAATAGAGAAAATTAATAAATGTGATAAAATAGCAATAATAGAGTAAAATAATGTAAATGTAATAATAATAAATAGAGAAAAATAATGTAATAATAATAATAACAGAGTAATAATAAATAACTTTGACTCGAGTATGTTTCGCTGTGCATTCGACTGATGACTCCTATGACAAATGACTTATATCATGACCTGAATCATGATCTGACTCTGAATTCCTATATTACATTACTATATTTATCTTTAAATTAAGTTGAATCGATCCTGTTAAATTGCTCTCTTTCCATGCTATTTCCTATGCTATTATACGTTTTCTATCCACCTTATGGAACCATCTCAGTCTTTAATCAGTTTTGCATAGTGGTCCTCTTCCTCCTCCAAAATTTAGTCTGTTGTTGCTTTTGATGCTGTTATTGTTCTTGTTATGCTGTTATGCTAATTTAAATTGTTATTGTTTGTTTTAATTGTATTTTGCTTTGGGCTTGGCCCCATGTAAGCCGCCCCGAGTCCCTTTGGGGAGATGGAGGCGGGGTAGGAAAAAAAAGTTCTTCAAGAATAAGCCAAGGGGGGCTTTTTCAGTCTAGAAAAGGGCTGAAAAACTCTGCTTATACTCCAGTATATACGGTATATACATGTAACTATGTTGCCCTGGTATTGAAAGCTCTGTGGGCCACATAAAACAATGTGATGGGCCAGATTCGACCTGCAGGTATTGTGTTTGACATGTGTGACATGCTGTGCCACTATGGAAAGGGAGCATTTTTCATCCATGCTCCTCTGCCAGGAGATCTACCAGCACAACCAACACAATTAGAAATGATAACAAATCACATTGTGCTTTATTTTTGTCAAATATTCTGCTAATCTTTTTTTGTCTCGAGGTATATTGGGGGCTGTGGAGTAGAGCTGCAACATTTTTGTTGTTTTTAAAGGCATTTTTAAAGTTATCGGGCAGGGAGGTTACAGCTTGGAAGGTCTTGATAACACCAGAAATGGCAAATTAGGGCATCTATAATCAGCACCCCCCACCCATCCTCATCTATGCCAACAAGTTCCATATTGCCCTGGAGAGAGGGGGCCGACCTGATCTCACCAGGAAGGGAGTTCCATAGCCAGGGAGCAATCACCGAGAAGGCCCTGTCTCATGTCCCCACCAATCGTGCCTGTGACAATGGCGGGGTGGAAAGTAGGGCCTCCCTGGAGGATCTTAATCTCCACGATGGTTCATAGGGAGAGATGCGTTCAGACAGGTAATTTGGGCCGGGCCGTTTAGGGAGGACCTTTGATGGTTCTTTACTGCAGGAATTCATTAAGACTATATTAATGGGATATTTCAGTGTCCTATGTCATGATGCAGTAAATACCTTATTAACCTTCAAACAAAATGAACGAGCATTTGATTGTCAGTACATTGTCAGTCTTTATGAGTCTATTCTCATATCCAAACTATTGCTTCATCCATAGGGTAACTTAAGCCTGTCAGTTAAAGATTATAGTTGTCTTAGCATACAGTAAATTTAGCAAAACTGTCTTAGCTAGTGATCTACAGCAATTGGGAAAAATGCTATAAAATTCAAAGAAGAACTCTGAGACATGTCTCAAGGTGTTCAATTGATGGATGTCTGTATTGGTACAAAATAATACAAATCTCAATGTGTTTCTGTTTTGAAAAGCCTTTGTCAAGGGACTATTTGAAATGTAACCTCGGAAAGTTTTGGAGATGAAACTCTCACACCATTTACTGGACAAAATGAAAAATTTGAAGAAGAAGCACGGACAGGCTGAAACACATTATTTTAACAAATAAATGTTGTGTTTCCAGTTTGATCTGTTGCCAGGGATCTTTTTGGTTATTTGAAATTAGTATGTGATTTCCCCACCGTTTCAGTGTCTGACAGTGTGCAGCTCTCCACTCCGCAATTGATCCCTCTGCATTTTTTCTGTTATTAGACTTCTTCCTCCAATTTGTCCTTTCATTCCTCTGAACCACTGCCTCTTTTGTGTCCTAGCACCCATTCCATGCTTCACTTGGCTTCAATATTTGCTTTCCCTGTTTCAGGCTATTACTGCTGTAGATGTGGGTGAAATGTCAGGAGACAATGCTTCTGGAACATGATCATACAGCCTGGAAAACTCACAGCAACCCAAAATAATAATAATAATAATAATAATAATAATAATAATAATAATAATAATAATTTCCTATGGGTAGCTGCGTTACTTGTAATTAATTATTTCCATGCTCTCAATTGAAATCCTGACAAGAGTACACAAAATGTTCCCTCTGTCATCATTCCCATTCTCTTACAAACCGCACAGTTATCTGGGTAGTTCTTTTCCTTTATCAGTAACAACTACAATTTGAATGCTTCTATTTGAAGATTTTTTTCTATTGACCCCAACTTTTGTGTGTTTCTATGAAGATACTTTTCAAGTTAGAGGAGTGCCATAGTGAAATGCAGAGCATTCACATTTCCAATGAATTGGAAATGGTTCAGAGCACTTAGGCCCTGCAATATACGAGACTACCTAGGAAACGATAGGTATGGCCAGCCAAGGCCATGAGGGACAAGAGATACATACACCTTCACACACAAGGCAGGACAGTGGGATGCCACCACTGTGTATTATATATTTTCCTTTGCTGCCACCAATTAGTGTTATAAGAGTTTGTTTTGCTGCCACCTTTTATTGATTCCGAGACCACCTCCTTCACTAGAATGTTCAAGAAGACCCACAAACTCTTGAGGTGAAATAAAACAAGAATATGTTGGTTTTTTTCTTGAACAGTAAAGTGGTTTCAATAAATTGTCAGGCTATACTTCTTACAGAGAAAGAACTTGAGCTTCTTCAAAGCAGTGTTCCACACACAGGAATACAAACAGGTTATGCTGAACCTTTTGAATCCTCTTTCCACACCAGCACTCTTAACACTATAGAGGCCTACTAAATTTCTTATTCCTTCTCCCTGAAGGCTTCAACTATTTTCCTCAAAGAGGTATCTTCCTAACAAATAGTTCCCAAAACTCTTCCTTCCTTCACTTCAAAAATCCTAACTAGCTCTTTAAATGCCAAACTCCCAATGGCACTAAACTATGACTGCCTTAGTCTCCTCTTCCCCATCTGGCTCCGTCCATATCAAATTGATAAGCAACTCTCCAATTTCATTAGCCAATCAGACTGCACTTCAAGCTATGAAGCTGCCTGATAGCTCCACCCTCTTGCTCTCCTTAGCTTTTCCATGCCAGGCCTGTTTACTGCCTTTACACCAACCCTGAAAGATAGGCCAATTTGTTACAGACCCCATCTGCACTATCCTATAAAATCCAGATTACCTGCTTTGAACTGGATTATATTGCAATGTAGACTCATATAATCCAGTTCAAAGCAGATAATCTGGATTATTTGCTTTGATAATCTAGATTATTTGGCAGTGTAGATCCAGCCTCAGGCAACAAATCTGTTGTATCCATCTACCATAACTGCTGGAAATAAGTCAATCACTTTCAGACTCACATTTTGGCTTTGTTCTTTGTCCATTTGTTTTTAATAACCTTTCACTTTTTAAAAAATTCCTAAGATATCCTTTTGTGAATTTTATGTATGGCTCCTTCCACACAGCTGAATAAAATCCCACATTTTCTGTTTTGAACTGGGATATATGGCAGTATGGACTCAGATAACCCAGTTCAAAGCAGATATTGTGGGATTTTCCGCCCTGATATTCTGGGATGTAGGGCTGTGTGGAAGGGACCTATATCAAATATATGTAGACATTTTTAAATGACATGTTCATGGAGAATGAGGAAAGAAAAATGTAACTTTATGCTAAAGCGTTAGATGTGTTGGGATCACATATTTTGTGATGGACATAAATTGTAGATCAGATAGGATTAGATCCAATTAACTTTGGATTTAAGGGAAAGGGCTGTTGTTCAGTGGTAAACTGATTATTTTGTATTCAGAAAGTTCTATATTCTATCCTGACATCTCAAGGCTGGACAAGATTCCCTTCCAGATGCTACCAGTCAGTATCAACAGTGTAAGGCAGATTCTTTTGGTTCTTAAGGAAGAATATAAAATATACTATTAAAGGAGATGAAATGGCATCAATCTAAAATGGATGGTCTATTTCCCTGCTTCTTAAACTGTAGGTCCTGATGCCAAATTGGATCTCCTTCGCTCAGTGTTGAGGTCATGAAAAATGTAGCAACAGTAAAAAGTTTTTGAATGCTACACATTTACACAAATCTGTTAGCAACAGCATTCAGTGTTTACAGTGGACTCAGCAGAAAATGCTTCAGCTGTACTCCACATAAAGCCTGTTTAGTAAGTTTTGCAAATGCTGACGTATTACGCTATGTAACAAAATTTGCAAAAAAAAAAAAATCAGTTCCTGGTTTGAAAGTGTTATTTCTTGTTCAACTGTGTAGTATTCGCTTTGAAAGTAGTTGTTATACTCCAGAAACTTTATTTTTGTGGCTGCTCCCAACTATGTTGAATTGGTTGAGACTCTAAGATATTCATGGAAAAACAATAGCAAAATGTACTGCAGGATGTACCATGAAACAAAGTTTTTGCAGTTTAATCAACTTTTCTGTGTTTTCATGATAGAACCAATTTTTTTTGTCGTGTCAGGAGTGACCTGAGAAACTGCAAGTCGCTTCTGGTGTGAGAGAATTGGCCGTCTGCAAGGACGTTGCCCAGGGGACGCCCAGGTGATTTGATGTTTTATCATCCTTGTGGGAGGCTTTTCTCATGTCCCCACATGAACCAATTAGGAAATAACATTTATAACCCAGGAATGAAAATCATGTTAAATAGTGTTATCAGTAAATGTTTAATTTTTATATTTCTTTTATATACCTGGGGTTACGTTACATATTCTTGGGTCAAAAGGAGTTGCAAGTGGGAAAAGTTGAGATGCCCTGTCTAGTTAATCAAACCCTAGCATTAGGTAGTACTTTCTCTCTCTTTTTCCATGATGAGCATGCTGATAACATTCTTACAAGGAAATCTTCCTGTCTTTTTCTCTTTCAGCTAACTCCTTTATTCTTTTCATCTCTGCAATCGGAATCTCTGCCTTCATCCATATTGATGCTTCTTCTCCTTTCCTCCTGCCTTCTGCCTGATCCAGCCAATGCTTCATTAATACAAAAGATGGCTCCCAGGTATACCCTTTAGGTCTGAATTTTTATGTGGACTACAGAACAAATTTCTACGTGGGCTGTTGATTTCTGGTAAGGTTTGTTATGCCCTGGGAAAGGAACATTTCAGATAAATCCAAGGAGCTATCCAAGATGTTGAACTCTATTGCCCAAATGATAGAATTGGTACCTTATCAGTCCCCATGAAGGGACACCATCTCAGTACACCGTTCATGCTCTTGTATCACTTTGGTAATTTAGAAATTCAAATGCAAATGTTGAAGAGAAATTGTGCATTCAAAATATTGACATTAAAGTATTTCCACTGTTGTGACACAAGGTGCAGTTATGTAATAAATTTTACATTTTTCTTTTCTCTTCCCTCTATTAGATAAACAAAAGAGGCAACCTGATATCTTCCATGCTTTGAAAATGGGTAAGGCGTTTCAAAATCATACTCTCAGTCCATTCTAGTATATGATCACTACAGGCTTCTAGAAGTGGTCTACAGTCACTGATTTTGCTGGATGTTTGAAAGCATTAAAAGAACACTAGCCACTCTTGTTTTTGTAGCTCCTCAACAGTTCAGTTTCTTCTGTCCTACTCTCACATTTTTTCTCTCTTTCCTTTCAGGTATTTCTCTCTGGCCTCCTCCTCTTTTCATCTTTGATGTAGAGTTATTCCAGCTTTCCTTCCACAGTAAAATTCTCTATTTTGCAGGTTCCTGCTTTCTAGTCAGTGACAACTAGCTGTGTCTAGGAATCTGTTTGGGGGGATTTGATTGAGCACCTTAAATTGGTCCCTTTAAAGTTTATAGTTAAACCCTGAAGTTAAAACCTGTCCACTGATTTAGAAGCCACCACTCACCACTGTTTCTCCATCTTAGATCTCTATAATTAGAATAGACTTTTCTTCTTTGCTAAACTATTCAAAATAATCTTCAGGATCAGATGAGGTAGTGGCCACCAGATGATGTCGAATTTAGAGTACCTTATCTTGGCAGTACTCAAACTAAATCACACTGTTGACTCTTTTAGTACAGTGGGACCTTGACTTAAGAGCATTTTGAGTTAGGAGCCATCACTCAGCCCAGGCTTCGCATTGACATAAGAGCAGCATTTTGAATTAAGAGCTAGTACTGGAGGGCACACTAGCATGAGAGTACTGAGCTTTAGGGCTTCAAAGGAGTAGCCTCTATGCCTCCATGCCTCGTACTCTTGTCTGCTTTGCTCTTGTCCGCTTTGTGGAACTTTGGATTAGTTGATTTTGTGTGGTTTTTATTCCTGGTATGTTTGGCTTCATGGAGAGAGACAGCAAGAGAGGGAGGGAGGCTGGAATGAGTATGCTGTGAAAAAAATGATGTGTCTACCTTTTCATCTGTGGTTTGTGCTTCCTTGCCAGAACTTTGTGCTTCTACCATTGTGTCACAACTTTGTGCTTCTACCATTTTAAAGTTGATCTTTCTTTTTTTATTCCATGTGAACACGCATTTGTACATTATGCGTTATTTATATGTACATTATGCGTTATAAAGTATATTTTCTTAATTAAAAACACATAACAAAAAAGGGGGGATTGAGGGCAGCGGAATGGATTAATAGTCTTTCAGTGGATTTCAGTGGGAAAATTCACTTTGAGATAAGAACATTTTGAGTTAAGAGCTCAGTCACTGAACAAATTAAACTCTTAAATTCAGGTATCACTGTATTGTGCTTCTTTTTAATGAGCAACTTCTCAGAATATGCAGTGTCTGCCCACATCAAAAATTATTAAAATTAGAACATTTGTATTAGTTTGCTGGAAAGAATGCTCGGACTATGTCTCAGAGCTCGCAAAAGCAGAATCTTTTGTCTTAACCGCTAAGCTGTAGGAAATCTGTTGACTGGAAGGTTGGCAGTTCGAGGCTGCAAGTCAGGTTGAGCTCCTCGCTTCTGCTAACCTAGCAGTTCGAAAGCATGCAATGTGAGTAGAGCAATAGGTACCACCTCGACAGGAAGGTAAAAGGGTGCCACATGCAGATATGCAAACATACCGGCAACACAATCAGAGATGTCTATAGACTCCTCAGCATGGAAAAATGGAACAAGAGCACCGCCCCATGGCTGGAGTTGAGATCACCTCCAGACGCCAGAGATGGAAAATTGGAAGGCCTTTACCTTTGTCTGTGTTGTATGTTGTTGTTCACTGTGTAAAAGGCATTGAATGTTTGCCTCATATGTGTATTGTAATCTGCTTTTAGTCCCTTCAGGAAGATAAAGCAGAATATAAATAAAGTGTATTATTATTATTATTATTATTATTATTATTATTATTATTATTCTGACACATTTTAGTTGTTTAAATTATACCTTTGTTTAGTTCACACCAACATAATTTTTTATGGCCTGAAATTCTTAATTGTCCCACAATGTTAACTGTTTCTGTAGGGAACTTTCAGCTGGTTAAAGAGATTACCGACGAAGACCCAGCTCAAGCCAATGTCCTTAATGATGATGGCGCTTCCCCACTCATGATTGCAGCTGTAACTGGGCAGCTGCCCCTTGTACAGCTGCTTGTTTCAAGAAATGTGGATATTGACAAACAAGATAATGTCCATGGTTGGACAGCACTAATGCAGGCCACTTACCATGGGTAAGTAGTATTGTTATTTGTGTGGTTTGAACTAAGAAAGTTCAAGTATTGTTAAACATTGCAGCATCTGGGTATTAACGGTCTTAGGAATGCTAATGATAACCCTGACCTGGAATACAGAACAGAGTTGTATCAGTTAGTAAGCAACTGAATCATTTTGGCCACTGCAAGATCCTTAGCATAAAAATATTTGTTGTTAACAAAAAACAAATAGGCAAAGTTTAGGAGGAATTAGAATGTAGGGTAGGTAATGCTCAGCCCTTTCTAAGATCCTGTTCTAATCTTTATTTAATCCCATGGTTCCTAGTCTTTGTTCCATGGACCACCAGTGGTCCGCAAAAACTAAAATATGGTCTGTGTCCTCACAGTTACTACACCATTGCAGCGAGAGTGAAATCCTGTTAGTGTTCAGTGTTCATAAAATCCATGGATAATAACACAGCCCAACCAAAAAAATTTTTTTCTTGGCTTCTTTGTTTTTAGGCCTGTTTCTGGGATTATTTGGGATGCTGATTCAGAAAATTGCATTGGCTAGACCACATCAGCCAATTAACTAATTATTAACTAATTATTAATTAATTAATTGTTAATTAATATTAATATTAAATAATAATTATAATTATTAATTATTAATTAATTAATTATAATTTATTATGTACTATTTATTAACTAAATGGTCCCTGGTCAAGCGGTCCCCGTTCAAGCAAAGGTTGGGAACCACTGATCTATGCAAATTGTTGCACAGAAGCGAATTTTAGCCAAGTCCCATGCAAAAGACACACAGGCAAGAGGGAAAAAGAACAGAAAAACTTTACTCTTATCAGCAGAGGAATAAACTTGCAGTGTTGCATACAAAATCAAACAGTGCAACAAACTGACATAGTCCTTGTAAGTAACACAGAATAAGGCTTCTTCATCTTCATTCAAATGAGAGAGCAAAACATAAACCTTGAGTAAATAGCTATTCCACCATACTAAAGAGCATTGCTGTTAGAGCATAGCAGCATTACAGCATATTGCTTCTCCTCCTCAGAGTAGTGTATTGCTTCTCCAAACTGTATTCTAAAATCCATACAGTTATACCCCACCGGGTGTGGCCCAGACATGCTGGCTGACCTACATTACCAGCTGCACATACTAATCAACATCAAAAGGATTTTTTTTAACCCACACTTGATCCTGCTACAGCTTACTGTAACACAAATGACAATGCAGTGGGAACTAAAGTAGATTCTCAGTTAATCAGCACTCTCAGTTAATCAGCACTCATGGGGATTGATAGATTCCAGATTAAGGTAGTTTCTGGTGGCTTGAGAGTTACTATTAAAAATAGGCCTAGCTAGTACAATACCCCATACTACATCATACCAAAAACTCTATATTATGTAAATAATAATAATGTTTAATTGTGGTTTTATTATTGTGGTTGTTATGGATTGACATCGCGTCAGTGTCCAATGTATGGCATTGAAGTTTTGCCCGTTATGTGTAAATTGCTTTGAGTCCCCCTAGGGGTGAGAAAAGCAGTATAGAAATACTGTAAATAATAAATAAATAATACTAACTTGTTATTAATATTGAAATACAGTCATTAAATGCAAATTAATACAAATAAAGATAAACTTTACTTAATGTAACACAGTTTTACTGTTTTACTATTTAAAGTATCACTTCTTAAATTTGCTTGAGAGTTCCAGTTGCTTGATTTCCGGGTTAACTGAGAATCTACTATAATACAAAATACGAACTTACTATCTCATGGTTTCTGTGAATGCTTATAAAGCAGGCATGGGCAAACTTCAGCCCTCCAGGTGTTTTGGGCTTCAACTCTCACAATTCCCAACAGTCTTAGGCCTCCTCAGCTTAAGTGGTAAAGAGGGAAAAGGAAAGGGCCTGAGGCTGTTAGGAATTGTGGGAGTTGAAGTCCAAAACACCTGAAGGGCCCAAGTTTGCCCATGCCAGCTATAGAGGTTATTGTGACAACATCAAATGGTACAGAAATGTAACTTTACAATTGATACACCTCACTTATATTTTGTTTTTTTTACAAGAAATAAAGAAGTTGTTAAGTACTTATTGAATCAAGGAGCTGATGTCAATCTACGTGCTAAAAACGGATACACAGCTTTTGACCTGATAATGCTTCTGAATGATCCAGGTACTTCCCTCTCCTTCCATCTCTGTAGCGCAGTGCTTCTCAACCTTGGGTCCCCAGATGGTTTTGGCCTACAACTCCCAGAAATCCCAGCCAGTTTACCAGCTGTTAGGATTTCTGGGAATTGTAGGCCAAAAACATCTGGGGACCCCAGGTTGAGAACCACTGCTGTAGCGTGTGATGTTTTTCATAAAAACAAAATCATCTTTTAAGAATGTATTTGAAGTACAGAATTAATATGTGTGCATTTTTCAGATGCAGAACTTGTACGGTTGCTCGCTTCGGCCTGCATGCAAATAGACAAAGAAAAGAATAAGCAGAACAACAAAGCAACCACGCCTTCATCCAGAAATAAGCAAACAGTAGATATCCCAATGTTGCCTGATGACAAGGGAGGATTGAAGGTATACATATTCCATACATTTTATCTCAACACCCTTCTACAAGGGAATCTAACAACAGTGTTCTACTGACTTGCTTTGGCTCTTCATGAAAACTGGTCAGAAAAAAAACCATCTCTTAGCCTACTCTGCTTATGTGCAGTGTTGGTAGCATAAATGTGATATTGTCGTTATCAACTTAGCAGGGAATAAATGACACCTTGTCATTGTGCTAAATATTTATAATTCAACATAAAAGGAAACAATCCATTATCATTTTTTTCTTTTCCAGTCATGGTGGAGCAGGATGTCCAATAGGTTTCGGAAGCTGAAGTTGACCCAAACTTTGAATCATGGGTTTTCCATAAATCCATCTGTGCCTTTCCCAGAAGAGTCTAAATCGCCATTTGATTGTACAATGAAGGCCACCGACCAAAGTGACAGTTCTTTAAATCATGAGGCTACTGCAACTTGGACAACAAACAGCAAATCTAATGGTAAAAATGAATTAATAAAAATATTTATTTATTTATTTATTTATTTTACTTTACTTGTATACCGCAGTTTCTCAGCCCAACAGACGACTCAACGCGGTTTACAACAAGGATAAAAAGTCAATCAACGATATACAATTTAAAACCATAAGAACATAGTATACAAATATTAACACAACAGTAACAACACAATACATCTCATCACTAGAGTCGTGATCCAATTCGTCGTCCATATTTCCATTCCTGTAATCATCACATTCATTGCACTGTTTATCCGAATGCCCGTTCAAACATCCAAGTTTTTAATCTTCTTCGAAACACCATTAATGAGGGGGCTGATCTCACCTCCATGGGAAGGGCGTTCCACAGCCGAGGGGCTACCACAGAAAAGGCCCTGTCTCTCGTCCCCGCCAGCCGCACCTGTGAAGCAGGCGGGATAGAGAGCAGGGCCTCCCCAGAAGATCTTAGGGTCCTGGCGGGCTGATAGGCAGAGATACGTTCGGATAGGTAGCTTGGGCCAGAATCAAAAATATACTTAGGTTTTTCTGTATACATACCCACAAATATAGTCAAACTGAAATTAACATGTCCAAAGTAGTTATCAGCTATATCAGGCATGGACAAACTTTCTAACTTGGGAGCTGCATGCTAGCACCCCCTGTTAAGAGGATTGGCTGCCCAGTGATTGAAGGAAGGGAAGGATGAACGAAAAAGAGAAGGAAGGAAGGATGAAAAGGAGGAAGGGAAGAATGGAAGGAGAAAGAGGAAGGTAAGGGAGGGAGGGAGGTAAGGAGGAAGGAAAGACAAAGGGAAGGAAAACAAAGGGAAGGAACGAAGGAAGGATAAAAGGGAGGAAGGGAAAGATGGAAGGAGAAAGACAGAGATAAGGAAGGAAGTTCCTAACTATCTGAAAGCAGTAGTTATACTATGAGCAAAAGCCCTTTCATTTTCCTAGGTGAAATGATGGCACTGTATCACATTAGATGCATTTTTAGAAATGTTTAGAACAGTCCTATTAATCAGTGGTCTATGTCTTTTTTTCTTCAGGTATAGGAGTCACAAAAGCAGGAAAGGATGCTGAATTACTGACAACAGTAGTAAGTCAGACTATATCACTGTACCAAGGATTTGGCAGATTTTTCAGCAACTCTTGCTGGAAAAATGTTTGCTCCCAAATGTCTTGACAAGAAAAAGTAATTGTAATATTATTGACATAAGATACAGATCCCCTTCCCCAAATGGAATGAAGGAGGGAAGTTGCTACATGGCTTAGATAGTTTGGAGCAGAAACCAGTGACCCAAAAAGCCTAGCCTAAATATTGGCGCTGCCTCAGAATGAATTTTTCCAAACTTTCACTTAATGTAATGAATGAGATATAAGAAGTAGTGTAACTTTAGACTGATAAAACAGATGGTATCCCATAGATACGATTTTCTATAATGTCAAGTTAGAAAAGTGAACTGATACTACTATATTCTGCTTCAAGATAAATAGACCCATTCTATTAAAGTAGCCCACGTTCAGATAAACACTGAAGAAGCAGAATGAATGTCTTAAAAACTCAGGAAGAAATTAATCAAATGTACAAGAATATTTCCTGGTTTCAGTATAGACAATGAAGAGAATATTATAATAAAGATAAAACAGTAGGATTTGCTGAACAAGAATAATTTTGGAACAAAATAATGTTATTGGAAAAGAAAGTAATTACAAAAAGCGATAAGAAATTGCTAGAATGGGCTACAGAAACAGCAAGAAAGATTGTATGGTTAAATGGGCAGACAATGTTGGTCAATACAATAAAATGGGAGGAATGGGAAAGACTATGGAATCGTAAATTGAAATATACATATTTTACATTGCCCTATCTCCCAGTGTTTTAAATTTTAATCTTTGGATTTGGCCCTGCCCACTGTGATCATTTTTAGGTGTTCTAATGTTTTGATTTTATATTGTTTTACTGCTTATTTACATTGGTTCTGCATTTTATGTTATTTTATTTTCTGATTTTCTGTTGTGTTTTTGTGTTATATTGTGTTTACTGTATTGATGGGCGTGGCCTCTTATAAGCCACCCCGAGTCCCCTCAGGGAGATGGTAGCGGGGTATAAATAAAGTTTTATTATTATTTTTTATTATATGCCTACGGTTTGAAAGAGAATTGATACAAAAGTATGTACCAATGGTATATAACCCCTCAAAAACTAGCAAAAATGTTACAAAAATACGCAAAATAAATGTTGGTAGTGTGAAATCCATGAGGGTCACTTTCTACCACATGTGGTGGACATGTACAAAAGCAAAGAACTATTGAAAGGAAATACAAGAAATCGCTCAAGAAAGTACTTGACACAAAAATACATCTGAAACCAGAACACTTCTTATTGGGAATAACAGATACAGCTATGGATACAAATAAAGACATACTTTTTAACTGTTTAGTAATGGCTGCCAGAATAGTTTAGCAAGAAGTTGAAGAGTAAAAGAAATACCTTCAACAGAACAATGGTTAATAAAAACAGTGGAAATTATGAATATGGACAAATTAACCAATTATTAGCAAAACATCAAGGAAGAGCTAAGAAAATAATGGATTGACTACCTTTTAAAAATTACATGATATGAGAAAAAAGGGGAATGATTATATAGTACAATCAAATAAAAAGAAAATCTGTCTCACAAGGAAGAAGAATGAAAAGGGGAGGCAACAATTAAAAAGAAGGAATTAGGGATAATAATAAATCCCAATGAAGAAGATTGGAAATTGATAAACTGCCCCCCCCCCATTCTTCTCATCCCTCTTTTTTCTTTTTTCTTTTCTTTCTTATTTTTCTCATTTTCTTTTCCACAAAGCCTTCTCCTTCCATGTCTATTCCACTCTATATTATTTTAAGATATTGTAAATATCATACTCTAATACAATTTATATAATTATATAATTTATATATTTATATAAATATAATACAATTATATAATACAGATTTTATATATATATATATATATATATATATATATATATATATATATATATATATTGATAGTCAGATAGATAGATAGATAGAAGGAGCCCCCGATGGTGCAGTGAATCAAAGCGCTGAGCTGCTGAACTTGCTGACCAAAAGGTCACAGGTTTGAATCTGGGGAGCGGCATGAACTCCCTCTATTAGCCCTAGTTTCTGCCAACCTAGCAGTTCGAAAACATGCAAATGTGAGTAGATCAATAGGTATCGCTCCAGCGGGAAGGTAATGGTGTACCACGCAGTCATGCTGGCCACATGGCCTTGGAGGCGTCTACGGGCAATGCCGGCTCTTCAGCTTAGAAATGGAGATGAGCACCAACCCCCCAGACTAGACTTAATGGCAGGGGAAAACCTTTACTATAAAGATAAATAAACCTATTCTAATTAACCACATGTGGATTGATTGAGTGATTTTTAAAGTTGGTGTGTTTTTTTAGTTCTAAACAGTTATATCTATTACTGCCATTTTTATAATTCATGATTTTATTTCCTCGGTTGTCAGTGTCAAAAAAAAATTCTGTTAACATTTTTTTTTTTGCTTCTCCCCTGAATAGTTAAGAAGTGGGGCTCCATTTACAAGATTGCCTAATGACAAACTGAAAGCTGTAATTCCACCCTTCTTGCCTCCTTCACGTTTTGAGCTGTGGAATTCCGACAGGATACAAACAAATAAAGACGGCAACACCGAGCAAACAAGGCTTGGCCTCCCACACAAAACTAGCAGTGAAAGTGGAAATTATGATAAAGTAAGAGAAATAAAATAATACTATATTTCTATATATAGTATAGAAAAATATATACTATATTTCATCTTTAGTAGTCAGTGATCGTACTCGTATCTTTCTTTTCCATTAAATCAAAGAGCTTATTTAGTTTTTCACAATCCATTTGAGATTTTATAAAGCAAAATGTTTTACTTGCAATTTGAACGTTATTAGTTCTTTAGGCAGCAGCTCTGTATTCATTCACCTGGGAGTAAGCCCCGGTTAATCTATGTCGGCTAACTTTTGGGAAAGAAAGTTAATGCTTGTACTGTTAGAGTTTTGTACTGTACTCAGAAAATGAGAGGCAGAAAGGAAATGAGATTGAATTCATTCAGTCTGTTTTCTCAGGAGTGTATAAGCTTTCAATTCACACGAAGCTTGCAGAGTAAGAGAAACTGAGACTTGTTTGTAGTCATCAAAAAAGATTCCCCCTTGTAAATTGCTTTGGAAAATGTTTACCACTTTTGAATCCTTCCTTATAAGCAGCTCAGCCCATCAAACATACACTTATCCGATTTATTCTCACAAACCAAATGTAGAAGTATTGAGTTAGATGAGTTGAATATATATTTAGGGGGAACAACTTTACACTGAAAAGTAGACTTCTGCTCACATTTTAAACTGAGACCTTACCAAGCCTAATATTTGATGCACTATTGATTTGAGTAATCTGCTTTGAAGTCAGAGTACAACTTCATTGCGTGTATTTGGTGAGAATATGCGAGAATATCCTGTCACCTGATGTTAATTATCTTGCAGCTGATAATGTGTTTTATTATTTTTTTCACATCAAAATATTGACTTACGCATTAAAGTAATAGTTGTGCTTTGGATTTTTTTCACAGATTTGCTACATTCACACGCAGAACAAAAATACATTTTAATATATTTTGTAGAGATTTTAATGTTAAAAGGACACTGAGAGGAGTGGGGTGTTTGGCATGAAAGTAGCCTCACTTTTCTGTGCTCATGCATTCTCTAGTGAACTCTATGCTCTCACCACTCATCTCTACTGGCAAGCCTTCCCCCTCCCCATTGTCACCAGTTGACTGTCACGTACATTCTGATTTTAATTTTCAAAATATGTATGTCACAGAATGAATTAATGTACTGTATATGAGGCCCCTCAAACCATAAGAAATACAAAAAATAACCAATTCTTGAACTGCCCTCCTTAAAAATACCCCCCCCCCCCCCCCCCCGCCATGGGACATGTTAATCACATTGGGAATCAGGGTCCTAGATAGTCCATGAGGCTACTTCCAACTCTCTGATTTTATGACTGTATTTGTATTTGTTATATATGTGCGAACTGGCTAAAATCCGATAAGTAATTCATTTCAGAGATTCGGATGGCCCCCTGCTTTGTTTTGTAAAAATTCAAAGGGGTCCCATTTTATTTATTATTTATTTATTTATTTACACCATTTCTACCCAGCCCTTCTCACCCCCGAGGGGGGTCTCAGGGCGGTTAACACAGGCAGCAATTCAATGCCACAGTATCAGTAACACCATAATACATAGCAGGTTAAAAACAGTAACCGTAATTATAAACACATAATCACGTAGTCATATAATCATATAGTCACAAAGTCACATTGCCATATATATACTACAAGAGATATCCTTGAATTTCTGCACATTGAGACAACCTAAGCAGGGCATTGATCCTGCAAAATTTTAAAAACATTAGCTCACCTACTGATTTTAGGAATTTTTAAAAGTTTTTTCAATTGATTTTTTTAAAAAAAATGACAGCTCCAAAACAACAAATCCTTACTAATCTCTCCAAACGGTTACTTGTCCGAACGTATCTCCCTCTATGTCCCACCTCAAAACTTTCAATCTTCCGGAGAGGCCTTGCTCTTGTTCCCACCTTCATCGCAAATGCCCTTGTTGGGAACAAAGGACAGGGCTTTTTCGGTGGTGGCCCCCCACCTATGGAGCTCGCTCCCCAGCAAAATTAGGTCAACGGCTTCCCTCCTTTCCTTCAGGAAAAAGGTGAAGACGTGACTATGGGACCAGGCATTCGGATAGCAGGTGGACAATAAAAATTATGACAATGCTATGGAAAACAGACTATGGACAGGCTTCGGATTAAGTTGTTCATTGTAGAACTTGGACTTGACATGCCAACTCATTCTTTTTTGTACTATTTTATACGGTTTTAAATTTAATGTCAATGTTTTACTGATTATGTAACTGTTGTTTTATCTGTTGTATATGTGGGGCATCAAATTGCTGCCATCTGTAAGCCACCCTGAGTCCCCCTTCGGGGGTAGAGAAGGGTGGGGTACAAATATTTGAAATAAATAAATATAAAGAAATAAATAAGTGACCAAAGGACTACTAGAATGGATAGGGATTTAAGTCTAGAACTCATATGTATTGATTCCAGACCTGTAACCACGATAGTACTCTAGCTTTCCAGTGTTCCCCAAGGTCATGAATTTAAAGATTACATGATTGACTTTGACTCTTACTTCTGTGCTGTTCCTTCCTTTTGTTTAGACATTCGTCTTCCTTCCAGTATGACAGCATTGACTGCCTCATTTTGTGAGTACTAGTCGAAAGTTGAACATATATTTCTTTTTCCTCTTCCAGGGATCCTTAACTAGAAATACCAGGCCCATTAAGCTGTCAACTTTTGCAAGAAGACCTCCTACACCTTCCAACTCAAGCAATTTCAACCATTCCCCTCACTCTTCTGGTGGCTCTAACAGCATTGCAGGAGTTAACAGGCATGGTGGAGAAATGCATAATAAATCAGGTGCTTATAAATATAGGCATTTATTCAGATATGAAGATAGTTGTGTGTTAGAGAGAGAAAGTGGGTGGGTGGTGTTGACTTAGCTGCTCAAGCAATAAATATCATAGCAATTACCATAATGCATACAGTGTATACTTGGCTCTGCTTCGCTTTCATCTTTGCCTGCATAAACCTGACTTACCTGCCTTTTAAAGACATTATTCCTGTGTGCTCTCCTAGTTTCTATTCATGTTTTCTTGATACCTGCTTCTTTTCCTTAATTTTCTCCCATTCTTACTTCTTTGTATTCCTCCTACCTTCTATCCATAGTACTTCAGCTCACATCTGATTCTGCCTTACACCTGAAATTGCATGTGCTTAACCTGGGACAAACAAGCAATAAAGATGTTATGTATCTGGAAGTTGACTTGGGGACCTTCCACACAGTCACATAACCCAGAATATCAAGGCAGAAAATCCCACAATATCTGCTTTGAACTGGGATATCTGAGTCCATTCTGCCATATTTGTTGTTTATTCATTCAGTCGCTTCCGACTCTTCATGACCTCATGGACCAGCCCACGCAACAGCTCCCTGTTGACCATCACCACCCCCAGCTCCTTCAGAGTCAAGCCAGTCACTTCAAACGGTTTGTCCCCGCCTATCTTCGCGATTGCATCTCCTTCTATGAACCTGCGTGAACTTTAGGATCTTCTGGGAGGCCCACCTTTCGCTCCCACCATCGTCACAAGCACGGTTGGTGGGGACGAAAGAAAGGGCCTTCTCGGTGGTGGCCCCCGCCTCTGGAATGCCCTTTCTAGAGAAATAAGACAGGCCCCATCCCTCCCCTCCTTTCGTAAGAGCCTGAAGACCTGGTGGTTTAAACAAACCTTTGAGAATGACTGCTTCTTGCTCAGTGCCAGATACTGTGGAATATGGGCATATCTTTTTCTACCAATTACCCAGGTTACTTCCTCCTATTAGGGCCCGGAATTGAACAGCCATAGATTCTATCTAATTTCCCAGGCCCTCTACAAATTGCACTAGCCTCGGCCCGACCTTTTAAATTGCCTTGAACAGGCAGGATTATTTTAAATATATATGTGCTATTGTGATTTTTTATGCTTATATTGTCTTGTTAATTTTATGTTTAAGTTGTTTACTTTGTATGTATTGATGATGTTACTTGGAAATCGTTCTGAGTCCCCTCGGGGAGATAGAACGGTATATAAATAAAATTTTGTTGTTTTTGTTTCGTTCAAGGATACCATCCCTCCATTTTGCCCTTGGCCGGCCCCTCTTCCTTTTTCTTTCCATTTTCCCCGGCATCATTATCTTCTCTAACCTTTCCTGTCTTCTCATGATGTGGCCAAAGTACCTCATCTTGGCCTCTACTATCCTTCCCTCCAGTGAGCAGTCGGGCTCTATTTCCTGAAGTATGGACTGGTTGACTCTTCTTGCGGTCCAAGGCACTCTCAGAATTTTCCTCCAGCACCACAGTTCAAAAGCATCTATCTTCCTTCACTCAGTCTTCCTTATGGTCCACCTCTCACATCCATAGGTTACTACGGGGAATACCATTGCTTTAACTATGCGGATCTTTGCTGCCAGTGTGATGTCTCTACTTTTTCACTATTTTATCGAGATTGGTCATTGCTCTCTTCCCAAGAAGTAAACGTCTTCTAATTTCCTGGCTGCAGTCTGCATCTGCAGTAATCTTTGCACCTAGATATGCATGTGAGTCACTGCCTCCACGTTTTCTCCCTCTATTTGCCAGTTATCAATCAGTCTTGTTGCCAGAATCTTGGGGTTTTTTTGTGTTTAACTGCAACCCAGCTTTTGCACTTTCTTCTTTCACCTTGATGAGAAGGCTCCTCAGCAACTCCTCGCTTTCATATCAGATAACATGGGATTTTATTCAGTTGTGTGGAATGGGCCTCAGATGTATGGCAACCTTTTAGAGGAATTTGCCATTGCTTTTCTCTGAGGATGAGAAAGTGTAACTTGCTGTCATCAGTGGATTTCCCTCATTGAGTATGAATTCAAACTCTGTTCTAGTCCAGCATTCAAACTACTACATTCTTAATAAAAACATGCCAAGTGTACATACGTAATTACCAATTATCTAACCAGCTTGCCTGCTTCCTTCTCCCCTCCCTCTCACAAACACTTGAGGCTGTTGATGTTGCCTCTTCCCATATTAGCTTCTCAACATTACATCTTTTAAAACATCTTTCCTCAAATAAAGGAGCATTTGCTTTAAAAAAAAATAAAACATTGAACTGTGGTTAGCTTTTTTTTAATTTTGGAAAACAAACAAACATTGTTACACATTTGAATGTATTTTTGTGCCCAATTTATTTTTAGGAGGAAGTGCCGATAGTGTTTTGTCTCAAATTGCAGCACAAAGGAAAAAAGCTGCTGGTATCCCTGAACAAAAGCCAAACAAACAGCAGATGCCAGTCGATCCAGCTCCTTCATCTCCTCCTCCTGGAGATGCCATCATCAGTGCACACGTCCTGAAGGTTTTAGAAATTATTTCTTTTAAACTAAAATATGCCTCTTTTAATGTTCAAACAGCATAGAAGTTGTTGATGGTGTTCATAAGAGACCCTGGTGGCGCAAGGGGTTAAACCAGTGGTTCGTAACCTATGGGCCACAGATCACCAGTGGGCCGCAAGGACGAAAATCTGGTCTGCAAGCCTCCTTCCTCTTTATTTTATTTTATTTCCACTCCTTTTTCACTGCCTGTCACTCCTTCCCTGTCACTGGCCAGCCCCAGCCCCTTGGATAGACCACATCAGCTCTAGATTATTAAATATGGGTTTCTGTGGATGATCAGATGGTGACTACTGGATGGCATATGTTCTGCATCAGAAACTAGAGCTGACTTGATCTATCCAATGCAATTTTCTGAATTAGAACCCCAAATTTAAGTTGACCAAAACATTGGTAACCCTTTTGGTACTAATGTTGGAGAGCGGTCCCTGGTCAAAGTGGTCCTTAGTCAAGCGGTCCCTGGTCAAAGTGGTGCCTGGTCAAAAAAAGGTTCGGAACCACTGGGTTAAACCCTTGTGTCAGCAGAATTGCTGACTGAAAGCATGGTGGTTCGAATCTGGGGAGCGAGGTGATCTCCCATCTGTCAGCTCCAGCTTCCCATGCGGGGACATGAGAGAAGTCTTCTACAGGATGGTAAAACATCTGGGTGTCCCCTGGGTGGCGTCCTTGCAGATGGCCAATCCTCTCACACCAGAAGTGACTTGCAGTTTCTCAAGTCGCTTCTGACACAAAGAAAAATAAAATTAAAAAATTAAAAAGTAAGACTACATGGCTTAGGTCTAGATTATTTGAAGGGCCGTATCTCTCTCTATGCACCTGTGAGATATATATATAATCATCTGTGGAGGGCCTTCTCTCTGTCTTTCATTCACTCACACACATTTAGTGTGAACATAGGAGAGGCCCTTTTTGGTGGCTGCTCCCATTTTGGAGAGAGTCCGGGGTCGTGGGGGGAGCATCTCCACTTGTCTTTTGCAAGCAAGTTAAGACACTTCTTTTCCATGAAGCTTTTAGGGGATGATGAGGGGCACACTGCTAAGGAGGTTATGGGTGGAATTTTGGAAGAGTATTTAATTTTAAATGTAATCTTAGTTGTATTTGTATTGTTTCTTAACTGTATTTTAACTTGTATTCATGAGACAAATATCTAAAAAAAATGTATTTGTTGTGATTTTAATTTTTATTAAGATGTGTCATGTTATTGTAAGCCACCTTGAGTCCCTATGGAGGAACGTGTGGGAAAGAATAAAGTTAATTATACTACTACTTCTACTTCTACTGCTACTAATGATAATAATAATAATAATAATAATAATAATAATAATAATAATAATAATAATAATAATTTCTGTGGTTCCAATTTGTGCCTATTTATGGCTGGATCTACACTGCCTTATATCCCAGAACCTGATTATCTGTTTGAACTGGATTATGTGAGGCCCCTTCTACACTGCCATATAAAAATCCAGTTTATTTCCTTTCAACTGGATTATGGAGCAGTGTAGACTCATATAATCCAATTCAAAGCAGATAATGTGGATTATCTGATTCGATAATCTGAATTATTTTGCAGTGTAGAAGGGGCCTGAGTTTATACTGCCAGATAATCTGGAATAAGAAGATAATCTGGAATCAAATCTTGGGATATAGGGCAATGTAGATCCGACCTACACTAACCGAAACATGTTTTTTTTCTTGAAAGAGCAGATCTATTTGAAGGGTTTGGTGGGAGGCAACTCAAAACCTCCCCGGATTTTCCATTTGTCCATATAGTTTGTGAATATATGGTACTTAATAGGGTCAGACAACTACCGTATTTAAGTTTTTAAAAATTACTGATATGGATATTCAAGAATAGTATAATACAATAGAAATGGGTTCCTGAATGAGGTGCATACAACAAAAATACCACTATATAAGATAAACAATAATCAAGCTCAACACACAATTCAAGAATAGTGTCATAAAGAAAGCTGGGCTGCTAATTTGAAGAGGGAAATAGACCCCAGTCATACACCAAGTATGTTTGGTTCTGGATTTTTTTCTCTTTTTTTAATAATTTGTGGCAGATATCTTCATATTCTAGGCAGGTGACTCACCTATTACAATAATGTCAATTTCCAAATATAGGCAGTAGGAACACAAATTGTCTTGAAACGTCTTTATACAAAGAGATACAAAATATCCAAGATAAAGATGTTCTATATTTTTTCTGGTGCCCCCAGTAGTACAGTGGGTTAAACCACTGAGCTGCTAAACCCCCAAAAGATCGGGGGTTCGAATCCAGGGAGCAGCGTGAGCTCCCGCTGTTAGGTAGTTCAAAAACATGCAAATGTTTTCGAACTGCCAACCTAGCAGTTTGAAAACATGCAAATGTGAGTAGATCAATAGGTACCACCTTGGTGGGAAGATAACGGCGCTCCATGCAGTCATGCTGGCCACATGACCTTGGAGGCATCTTTGGCTTAGAAATGGAGATGAGCACCAGCCCCCAGGGTCGCACTTAACAAGACTTAATGTCGAACTTTTACCTTTACTTATACTTTTTGTAAGAGTTTTTTTTTAAAGAAAAACATCAATCCTGTGGAACATTTCAGTAAGAGGAATATTTTTAATATGTTCACTCAAACAGAAGTTGGAAGTCAAGAAGAAGCCTCCGTCTGAGAATTCCTCAACTTCTAAAAGCACTTCCCCAACTCTCACCCCTTCACCATCTCCATCGTTGTCACCCAAGGTTCAAAGCACAGAGTCCTCAGCATCTTCCTCCCAACGACAAGGGAAAAGTAGTGGGGGCTCAAGCAGCGGCACTTTAACGGATGATGGTGAGTAGACCCAGGATCAGCCTTGTCATATGAGATGTAGCCCTCGCTCTTAGAGCATGCGGCTGGCTTTGTGTGTCTGAATGATCTCTGAATGAACGCTTTGGGATGTTACAGAAACTCTTCTCACAAGCCTATTCATTTTCAATATACTGAACAGAAGGTTCTTGAAAGGGAACAACAAGAGATCATGTCTCCTTGTATCCTGATATTCTACGCTGCCAGTGGTTCACCCACTGCGATGTTGACACTCACCAAAGGGAAGAAAGTTATCCTATTTCCTTGATAACAATCAGAGAGCGCTCTACTAAGTAGATCAAGTCAGGTCAAATGATACTGTTGACTTTAAGAGTATGGCTTTTAATTTGATTTTAAATCCTATTGATGATAGATTTATTACATGAATATGATATTTTATTACTTTTATTATATGAATGTTATATGATAGCTTCATTATAAGAATATGATAGTTTTAGTATATGTTAATTTATGTTTGTTTCTTTCACTTTAACTCTTGTAAGCTTTCTTGATTTTCAGGAAGAGGTGAATATAAATAAATAAAATATTAGAAAAGAAGTCAGTTACTTCTTTGGAGGCTTTTAAACAGAGGCTGGGTGGCTATTTGTGGAGTATTTTGTTCTTTTCCTGCATGGCATGTGGTCTCGTCCAACTCTATGATTCTAATACGAATTTAAAGGTTCAGTCAAGACATTTCCCTTATTGGTCCTCATTCTCAACAGATCGTCTCAGGCAAATTTTGACAATTTATTCACAGTTATTACTTGCAGCAATAGCTGATATAGTAGAAGCAACCAAGTTGGCCCACCCACAACTGGTAGGCAAAGACTAAGGCATGGGAAGGATTTGAAGCCCCTATGAAGGAGATGAGAAAATTGATTTAATTAAGTCTATATAAAATATAGAATGAATCATATTATTTAAGTTATTTTGTGTTATAGAACTACTTCTCATGATTCACTAAAAAAAACTCAACCCCCCCCCCCCCCAAAAAAAAAAATTCTGGCTACAGTCCTACTGGTAATCCCATATTAATGTGTGTGAAAGATAAAAGACAAGTACAATTTTAAGTTGTATTGCACAGATTGTTTGGTTGGGCATTTTCAAGTTCAAGTGATAATTTGTTGGCTAGACTATGATGTGATTTTGCCTCTTAATTCAAAAATTTTCATCCCCAAAAATATATCTAAGATGCCCATCCGCCGCAAAACAAAACAAAAAAATCAATATTATTTTCTTTTGTTAATTTAAAGATGAACTCACAGGGATCCTTAAAAAACTCTCCCTTGAGAAGTATCAGCCGATTTTTGAAGAGCAGGAGGTAAAGTTTTATTTAAATGTTTTTTTTTCTTTGCTTCTTGCTAATTGCTGTGTTTTTGCATACCTGACTTAAACTTTGGTTGTGTACAATCACTGCATATTATGACTGTTAAAAACTGCTGCTTTTCCCAGATACTGGTAGTGTTAAATTTTATTATCTGGCTTTTCGGAAACAATGTTTTCAAAGAAAATCGCAGGTGGTGGCAGTTAATGCAAGACATTTCTAAATATGTTTTCATCATCCAAGCCAAATCATTTGTGTTCAGCTGAAGTCTGGACAATTATTTAAGGTACAGATACATAGTGTATGGCTTGTGCTGTGTCTGTCCTATTCAGATTTTTCCCAAAGACAAATTGCTGGCTTCCTTGTTTCCAAAAGCCTATTTCCCTTCCACCGCTTAAGGCAGTGGTTCTCAACAAGTGGGTCCCCAGATGTTTTAGCCTTCAACTCCCAGAAATCCTAACATCTGGTAAACCGCCTGGGATTTCTGGGAGTTGTGAGTCAAAACACCTGGGGACCCACAGGTTGAGAACCACTGGCTTAGGGGGTGCTTTGATTGTGCTTTTCCTACATGGCAGAGGGGAGTTGAACTGGATGGCCCCTGGGGTTTTTCCTATTATATGAGGATGATAGTGATGATGATGATGATTATTATTACCATTACAAAGGACTCGGTGGACATCTGTTGGGGTGTGTGTGCTTTGATTGCACTTTTCCTGCATGAAGGGGATTAATGATAATGATAATGATAATTTGACTTTTATACCCCACCTCCATCTCCCCGAAGGGACTCGATGCGGCTTAGAAAGGGACAAGCCCAGAGAGCACAGAGTTAAAACGTGATGCAATAAAATAAAAACAAAACAAAACCAAATAGAAACATATCACAATAAAACATTAAATTGGATGGCCCCTGGGGTTTTCCACTGAAATACTGTTGAGTTCATGTTGATCATGCCTGATATATATATGCATTATAACATAACAACATAACAGATAAACATTTATTGGGGCTCCAAGAGAAACATTTACTTCAAAAAGGAGTCAACGGCTGAAAAAGTTTGAGAGCCCCTGCTCTAGAGTACTGCTTCTGATCCTGACCCAAAATTGGGGGTCACAAAGATTTGGCAACAGGAAAACCTTTCTGAACACCATCCATTTGCACAAATCTGTTTGCAAACAGTGTGCAATGTTTGCAGTGGACTCTGAAGAAGGTGCCTGAGCTGTACTTCACACAAAGGAAAATCAGCTTGTTTAGCAAGCCTTGTGAATACTGTTTTATTATGTTTGGTTTTTATAAACTCATAAAACTCAATAAGTCAACTGAGGTATAATCTAAAGCCAGAACTTCGGCTCCTTCTACACTGCCATAAAAATCTATATTATCAAAGCAGATAATCTGCATTATCTGCTTTGAACCAGATTATATGAGTCTGCACTGCCATATAATCCATTTCAAAGCAGATAATGTGGATATTATATGGCTGTATCTAAATGTTCCTTCCAAGTTCCATGTATGGCAAATAGCTTTTGCAGGTGGCATTGAAGGTTTCTATGACTATCAGCCATTCCTCGTAACCACAAGAGCTTCTTTTTACCATACACCATGTTGCTTTTCCACACACAAAAATTATATGTATTAGAGAGAGAGGGAGAGAGAGAGAGGTAGAATTTATGGGCAGATTGCAGGGATTGAGGAGCAAAGAAATGCATCTGGGGCCAAATAGCGTTCATCAGCTAGTTTCCCCAGCTCTGCTCTAGTGCTTTAGCTAGACACTTGCCATCCATTCTTTCCTTTCAAAGTGAAGATTTCCAGTGCATTGTGTGCCTTCGGGATATGTTGAGTGCATTCTTGTTCAGTTCTCTTCTTGCTGCTATGTTTGCAACTCTTGCTTCAAAAAAAAACAAACTAGTATGTTTCAGTTTACTTTCTTTTAAAATTCTGCACTTTGCAAAGAGCAATCAGTGTCTTTTCAAAGCATACATTAACCATTACTCATGTGTATTGTTTGAATGAATGTAAGTGATATTTTAGGATCACAAAGCAAAAATCTGGAGAGGTTTTTTTCCAGTTCATTGCTCCCCAAATATAGGTCCAAATGCTTTTGGCATATGATGGTTTCTTTCTTTGGGCTGAAATGGAATAGCCATTTCGTGCTCAATTAAGCATGTTCTACTGTAACATAAACCCTTCAATTCCCTCCAGAAAGGAGTTGTGCTTTGTTATTTTTATTCTGTTATTTACTTTGTTATCATACAAGTCCTTACAACAATGCAGTTTTTAAAAAGAGCCATTATTTCCATACTTCATATGCAGGGAGCTGAAAATGGCAAGACACTTGCATGGAGCCGTCTACTGAATTCATAAAATCCAAAAATTTAAAACCACGGTTCCTTCACCTCCTCATAGCTTTAACACTTTAGACAAATGATGCATTTACTATAGTAACACATCTTCAAGCTCTGAAAAGGAATAAAAGATAGAACATTATATGAGGTTTTTAAATAACGATTTGGAGAGAGAGAAGAATGTAAATACTCCCTTTGCATTATACCATTGTTTCCTACATATCGTATATACTCAAGTATAAGCTGGGTTTTTCAGCCCTTTTTTAAGGCTGAAAAAGCCTCCTCGACTTATACTTGAGTCAGAGTTATTTATTATTTTACTCTGTTATTGTTGTTATTATTACATTTATATTATTTTAATCTATTATTGTTTTCATTACATTTATTATTTTACTCTATTTATTATACTGACACAAAAACACAGTATGATACAGCAAACAAAATAAATAGGCTGGATTTCATATCACAAAATCACAAGTCGAACATTTCGCAAGCGTCTAGGACTGTGTGATGTATTTTCGAATGATGCGCACAGATCCAAGTAAGGTGGCCTTTTGCAGTTGACATATTGTGATTTAGTCAATGTTTATTGTTTTCAAATGCCATCTGAGATCTTTTGGCATGTCACCCAGTGTGCCGATTACCACTGGGACCAACTGTACTGGTTTATGCCAGAGCCTTTGTAGTTTGATTTTGAGGCCCTGATAATGGCTGAGTTTTTCTTGTTGTTTTTCGTCAATTCGACTGTCACCTGGTATGGTGACATCAATAATCCAAACTTTTTTCTTTTTCACTCTTCTTATTTATTTATTTATTACATTTATTACATTTATTATTTTATTCTATTATTATTGTTATTATTACATTTCTATTATTTTACTCTATCATTATTGTTATTATTACATTTATTATTTTACTTTATTAGTATTGGTAGGATACATAAGCACATTTACATTGAAGGTGGTTAGAATAATGGTTTAATCCAAGTTGGACAGTCTTATCCTAAATAACAGTTTTATGTAAATATTCAAAAACATTTAACTTACTGATGCCTCATTTGATGTTATTTTATTGCTATCTATTTTTATTTTAAAATTTACCAGTAGCTGCTGCATTTCCCACCCTTGGTGTAGTCTCGAGTCAATATGTTTTCCCAGGTTTTTGTGGCTATAATTAGGTATCTCGGCTTTTATTCGGGTCGGCTTATACTCGAGTAGATATGGTAGTTAAGAAAAATATATATTACACTATATTTGTGGCTTTCTTTTTCACAGGTGGATATGGAAGCTTTTCTTACTCTTACTGATGGTGACTTAAAAGAACTTGGAATTAAAACGGATGGTTCTAGACAACAAATTCTGGCAGCTATTTCTGAATTGAATGCAGGAAAGGTATGCCTTAATATCTTATAATTTAGTAGCAGGTATTCAGTAGAGTTTTTTTCTCTCTTTTAAAAACTTTTTCTCCCCAAATTAGGGAGAAAAATAATAAATTCTGGCAATATAACAATGGCAGCTCTCATATACCCAGAGATGAAGCCTGAATTTTCAGAAATAGGCAGATTTTAGTGAGTTGCCCCTGTCTGTTTGGAAGCAGATTTTGAGCTTTTGATGCAGCAACATTGAATCAACGTTCTTTGCTATGAGTTCATGTCACAGCAGTGCTGTAATGCTTCAGGGCTGATCCCTATGTCAACAAGGTTGCTGCTATAAGTCCTTTCCACCAGTCAGTTCCATTAGGCAAAATATTGCAAATGTAGTTCTCTTCAGAGCAAAAAACGTTCTACCTAACACTGCTAAATGCATTTCGCCAAAGAATGCTTGTTTGTTACCAAGTTGCCCAGCCAAAGTACATACAGAATACACTGTGTTGAGTTTTATGATTCTGTCAAATTCTGATCACAATGTTCAGCAGTCTTATTCTAGAATACTGGAAGCCACGAACAGACTGGAAAAAACAAGCTTATTTCCATTGGCACCAGCAACAGACACATTCAACCTCTTTGCTTAGTATATACACTTAACTAACTATGTAAGAACTGACCATGGAACAACAGACTGGTTCAAGATTGGGAAAGGCGTAGGGCAGGGTTGTTTACTCTCCCCCAACCTATTTAACTTGTATGCAGAACACATCATGCGATGTGCGGGGCTTGACAAATGCAAGGCTGGGGTAAAAATGTTGCAAGAAACATTAACAACCTTAGATATGCAGATGACACCACTTTGATGGCCGAAAGCGAGGAGTAATTGAGGAGCCTTCTAATCAAGGTGAAAGAAGAAAGCGCAAAAGCTGAGTTGCAGCTAAACATAAAAACCCAAGATTATGGCAACAAGAATGATTGACAACTGGGAAATAGAAGGAGAAAAAGTGACAGACTTTGCATTTCTAGGTGCAAAGATTAGTGCAGACGCAGACTGCAGCAAGGAAATCAGGAGACACTTACTTCTTGGGAGGAGAGCAATGTCCAATCTTGATAAAATAGTGAAGAGTAGAGACATCACACTGGCAGCAAAGATCCGCATAGTTAAAGCAATAGTATTCCCTGTAGTCACCTACGGATGTGAGAACTGGACCATAGGGAAGGCTGAGCAAAGGAAGATAGATGCTTTTGAACTGTGGTGTTGGAGGAAAATTGTGAGAGTGCCTTGGACCACGAGAAGATCCAACCAGTCCACACTTCAGGAAATAAAACCTGACTGCTCATTGGAGGGAAGGATATTAGAGGCCAAGATGAAGTACTTTGGCCACATCATAAGAAGAAAGGAACGTTTAGAGAAGACAATGATGCTGGGGAAAGTGTAAGGAAAAAGGAAGAGGGGCCGACCAAGGGCAAGATGGATGGATGGCATCCTTGAAGTGACTGGCTTGACCTTGAAGGAGCTGGGGGTGGTGATGGCCGACAGGGAGCTCTGTTGTGGGCTGGTCCATGAGGTCACGAAGAGTCTGAAACAACTGAATGAATGAACGACAAACTATGTGGCAAAATATATCCTTAAAGATTAATTGGAATCGTCTTTCTCACTGATAATTAGATTACTTTATTTAAATCTTGAGTATAGATTTACTTTCTATTTTAATTGTGATTTTTAACAGGGCCGAGAGAGAAAGATTTTGCAAGAGACGATACACAATTTCCATTCATCCTTTGAAAGCAGCGTTAGCAACACTAGCCCTAGGAAGCCTCAGTGTAAGTACAGGATGTTTACTTATTGCTAATACAGCACCGTTTGGCAGGTATTACTTGATCCTGACCTCCTTGAAACTGGATCCACAGCTTAAGCTATGTTTTGTCTACGAAATAGTAATGTAATTGTACCGAATATAATTAAACAAACCTTTCCTTGTGATGTTTCAATTTTTGAAGGGCACTTTTTTCTGTTTGACATATTCGCTATGTGAAATAATTGTGAGGATAAAGCTGAACACAGATCCTTGGCTCATCTCTGGAGATCAACATTTTAATACATCAGACTTTAAAATTATTTTTTAACACATACATTGTGTTTTATAAAAAAGAAATTCCTGTTCCTCTAGAAAATTGGTGTAGAGATGAATACAGGATTCTGAACTAAAGGATAGGGTTGTGTCCTGATGATGTCCCCAACGTCATTGCAATGACTTATTTGTAGTCAGCAAAATCATCTTATTGCCACAAAAAGCATGCAAATTGAGAGCTGAATGGGTCAGTTCTTTAACCAAGTCATGGCTAACCACTTTTACAATTATTCTATCCTTTATCCCAATGGAAATCTGGTGGTTATAGTAAAGAGCACATAGATCATGTTCAATGTATTGTCAAAGGCTTTCGTGGCCAGAATCTCACTACCTCTCTACCTCTGAGGATGCTTGCCATAGATGCAGGTGAAACGGCAGGAGAGAATGCCTCTAGAACATGGCCATATAGCTCGAAAAAACCTACAGCAACCCATAGATCATGTTGTACCTGCTGTCACACCTCTGTTGCGAAGGGGCATTATTTTGCAATAAGTACAGAGTTACCACACAGAACGTTCAGCAGTAGCTCATAAATACTTAGAGAAGAACTTGGGTGTTGTTCTCACATGCATTTGGAGTTCCAGACTATTGTCTGTTATGATAGTTAACCACTGCTATGTTGTAAGCATCTAGAGAGGGAGAGGCACAGGGTCATGAGGACCGATTCTCCTTTTTATCAGGTTAGATAAACATTTTGTGCTTAGACTGCAAATATTAGTTTTAAATTACTCAAGCACTTTGTGTGTAGTATAACCAAATTAATGGCTTTCTGTTTGCAGCACCAGGGAGCTGGATAAGACCACAGGAACCGTCTCCTACCAAGAGATAGTCTTGAACCAAGGGGTCCTACTATTTTGCTACCAGGAATACAGATGATGGAATCTAGCTGCCATGAAGAAGAAAGTCAAGCACACCTTTGTTGCAACTTCTTAGCACAAAACATGCAGAAAAAGACTCTGTGCCATATATTTTTTTCTGCAAAGTAGACTGAGCTTTAATTAAATTTAAATCAATTACTCATTTAATTAGTTTGATGGTTTCAGGGCTGTCAAGGAAGAACTGTACCATGAAAGAGAAAATGTATAGGTCATTTAATGGAAGAACAGGAACAAGACTCTTGGAAAAAATCTTGCAAAACCTGATTGGGCACAGACGTCAATCTGAAAGTTAGGAAAGAGTTGTCGAAGTATGTGTAAGGTGTTGGAATTTTCTTATAGTAACCACTCATTTATAGTAAATGAGTGGCATGTTAAAGTAAGTAGGATAGGCGGGTAACAAATAAAATGTATATTATTATTATTATTATTATTATTATTATTATTATTATTAATAAATGACGAAAGGAAGCCACGTTTAAGGGAGACTGCAGTGGTATTGTGAGAAGAATGAAGTAATGTCTATTGTTATGCTACTGTATCATGCCCGAGGCATGTTTTTTATTAAGTGGCAAATGCATTTTATATCATGAATATTTAAATACATTTCTTTGACTGATTTGGAACTCGTCTTTTGAGTGCATGCCTGGCAAGTCAAGGCTTGAGAGTGCAGAGGTTACCAATTTACGACATACATATAATAAATACAGGTTGGAGGCCAGGTATGGTGCACTAAAATGCACCATACTTTTTTATATCTGTTGGGACTTGGATAAATTGAGATTTGCCATCCCTTCGATGAGGATGGCAAATCTCAATTTATCCAAGTCCCAACAGATATAAAAAATAATGAAGCTGTTTTTGCCTCGTAGCTTCGAGACACTTTGGACCCCCGCTCACCCCATGTCAGAAAACTGCATAGTTTTCCAGAAACAGTGCAACTTTCACTGAAAACTGCTGATTTTAATGTGAAAGATACTACTTTTAGGCTGCCATGTGTGTGTTTTTGCACAAGATTGCTTTTTAACAACATAATAAGAAACCATATTGCACAACAAAAGTTCTATGCAACATTAGTAATGTTGCACAATAACATAGCTGCTTTTGCACTTTTTGTTGTGTAATAGTGTAGCTGCAGTTTCTCTCAGCTCACATTTTTTTCCTGCTGTGTAACAGTTGGCCTGTGTGAGTTTGAAATTGACAAAAACCGCTGCCACAATATCAAACAGTACTCTGTGTTGTTTAAATGGGTGTATAATGTACAATTTTTTGCAGATTTCCCAAGTATATAGCCAAAACCAGCCTTCTGTATATAATAAAAAAAAACCTGTGAGTATAGGTTTTGACTACAAATCTACGCAGACTTTCAAACTCTTGCGCAGCTCTCCAAAACGTTCATGTTGTGCTATGAACATAAAACAAGCAGTTTCTGCAATTTGCAGGAGCCTTTGACATGCTGTTTTTCTTCCCACCAAAGTTTTCCAAGGGATCCTAAACTCCAAATCTGTTCAGGAAGTCGAGAAATTTATTTTCCATTCTTACTATCTTGTTATTACAGGGTTCAATTATAGCTGTAGATTCTTTACCAACAATTGCCTAAATGTAGTTGCTGGTGCCAATTATCTACAAGCAGAACACTGATAGGCATTATCTAATCAAGAATCTACTTGAATTGTGATTACAGGTAACTGATAGATCTAGTAGGTCTGTTTAAGCTGAAAAACAGCTTCCTTCTACTGCAAAATAAAGTTAATATTTGAGAGAGACTAGCTATTGTGGTAATTGCAGAGGGAAATCAGCAGACTTGAAGGTGATGATCAATACCAGAGGTCCTCAAACTAAGGCCCGAGGGCCGAATGCACCCCACTAAGGTAATTTACCCGACCCTCACTCAGGGTCAACCTAAGTCTGAAACAACTTGAAAGCACACAACAACAACAACAACAATCCTATCATCATCCAAAAGCAGGTCCACACTTCCCATTGAAATACTAATAAGTTTATATTTGTTAAAATTGTTCTTCATTTTAATTATTTTATTGTTTTAAAGTGGTTTTTTGCACTACAAATAAGATATGTGCAATGTGCATAAAATTCATTCATTTTTTTCCAAATTATAATCTGGCCCTCCAACAGTTTAAGGGACTGTGACCTGGCCCTCTGTTTAAAAAGTTTGATAAATACTAATGAGCACCTGAGGGCCCAGTAAGGTGAAGATGTAAATAAGAGAATAGTAATATTCACATTTCCCTGAGCTGGTTTGCTTTCCATGTATTATATGCTTGGCCGAAAACTGTAACTTTAGAGAATGGACTAGGATCATTTGAGGCTGAAGCGTAGCTGATGCTACTGGAGACAAATCTGATTACTTCCTCGGAACTGTGTGTGGCAGCGGAATATAATGTTAAGGAAATTATAAACCGCCAAAGGCAAGTTAAAGCATGACTTGGGTAGGCAGCTGTAAAGGACTGAGAATTTAAAAGAGCTGGGTCTTGATGTGAGGATACCTCGTGATGGCTGATGGATTTGAGAGAACATTCAACATTATGGAGGGAGCCATTCTGTGATAGTCATTTTCTTTAAAAGAGGCTTCGTGGAGGCTTAACCATGCCCCTAAAAGACACAGACATGTTTATAAGCCACTATAATGGCTGATAGTGGCAAAACTTTACAAAAAACGCATTGTAAGTAAAAAATAATTTGCTTCTATGATCTTTACGGAAGGGACTATCTGCCTTGCCAGATACTGCTGAACTGCAACTTGCCTTAGCCTTAGCCAGCACAGTCAGTGGTGAGGTAGTCTAAGCTGCAACATCTAGAGCATTCTCCATCCCTGCAATGTGTTTATCACATTTTCCAGTATTTCTTTCCATTCTAGGACTGATATAATGTACCATTCTCTGGTGTCAACTCTAGCATTATAGCTACACTTGCATTTCTTTGCCATAGGGGCAGCTATAAAATACAAGAGTAGTGGCTCACATGCAATACCCCTCCCTGTTTCTTAAGCAGTTTTTACACAATACAATCACTATGTGGAGCTGTGGCTTCGGAAAACGCTGTCCATAAAATAGCAAATCTAAGAATGCATTTTGAAATATTTCTCCCTTGCTCTTCTCTAATGGAAGGTGGGAAAGAATTGTTATCCTCAGTGATGATGACTACTTCCCCATGATCCCCAACCCATCTAAAACACAGACATGTGCCTTTCATCTCAAGAACAGAGAAGCATCCCGAGCTCTGAAGATCACCTGGGAAGGAATCCCACTGGAGCATTGCAGCGCACCCAAATACCTGGGAGTCACTCTGGACCGTTCTCTTACCTACAAGAAGCACTGCCTGAACATCAAGCAAAAAGTGGGTGCTAGAAACAATATCATACGAAAGCTGACTGGCACAACCTGGGGATCACAACCAGATACAGTGAAGACATCTGCCCTTGCGCTGTGCTACTCTGCTGCTGAGTATGCATGCCCAGTGTGGAACACATCTCACCACACTAAAACAGTGGATGTGGCTCTTAATGAGACATGCCGCATTATCACGGGGTGTCTGCACCCTACACCACTGGAGAAATTACACTGCTTAGCCGGTATTGCACCACCTGACATCCGCCGGGAAGTAGCAGCCAATAGTGAAAGGACCAAGGCAGAGACATCTCCAGCTCATCTGTTTGGGTATCAGCCAGCACGTCAACGACTTAAATCAAGAAATAGTTTTCTAAGATCTACAGAGACACTCGCTGGAACACCTCAGCAAGCAAGAGTCCAAAAGTGGCAGGCTCAAACCCAGAACCTCAACCAATGGCTGATACCAAATGAGAGACTCCCCCCTGGGCACACAGAGGACTGGGCGATTTGGAAGGCACTGAACAGACTGCGCTCTGGCACCACGAGATGCAGAGCCAACCTTCAGAAATGGGGCCACAAAGTGGAATCCACGACATGCGAGTGGAGAAGAGCAAACCACTGACCACCTGCTGCAATGCAACCTGAGCCCTGCCACATGCACAATGGAGGACCTTCTTGCAGCAACACCAGAAGCACTCCAAGTGGCCAGATACTGGTCAAAGGACATTTAATCAACTACCAAACTCACAAATTTTGTATTTTGTCTGTTTGTTTGCTTTGTTCTGTTAGAAATGTAATATAATTGACTGGCTGCCCTGACACGACAAATGAATAACTACTTCCCCATCATGGTGTCATCTGCAAATTTACAGTATGCTATCTATTCCATCATCTAAGACATAAAAATGTTGCACATACCAGGGCATCCAACTAGTCGCTTCTTTCCACAGTGAAGAGGAACCATTGGTAAGCATACCCTAGCCACTTCATCATATTTATTAAATTCCACTAAGTGCTACACTTAAAATGTGGGAAGCAACTGTGTTCATCACATTAGGTTGAGTTCAAGTGTAGGATAGAGCATTCCTTGCGTATTTTAAGCATGGGGTCAGCATTCTTTTCAAACATTTCAGAAGGTGGTGGGGAAGTGTATTTTTTGTAATGAACTCGATGTTTGGCCAATTCTGTAATGTGATGGCATTTGTTGCTCTCAGATTTAAAATGAAACGTTTCTCCAGTGTGAACCTGTATTGGACAAGACTCATAGGCCCCTTCTACGCTGCCATATAAAATTGAAATTATCTGCTTTGAACCAGATTATATGGCAGTGTAGACTCAGATAATCCAGTTTAAAGCACATAATGTGGATTATCTGCTTCAATAATCTGGATTATATGTCGGTATAGAAGGGACCTGCTTTGGCCCTTTGGATTTTAATCCTGTCACTACCTCCGTATGACTCAAGCATGGATATTTGTCAAACATCTTTCACACAGAGACTGAACTAAATAATGTCACTTCTGTGCAGTTTTCTTGTTTCTTAAAAGTAATCTTTTCACGATTTTGTTAAAACGTGTCTTGCCGCCCCGCCCTTGTTCATTAGAGTTCATTTTTCTTATTTTAATCCTCATTTAGATAACTTTCTACTTTTTGTAGCATTTAACCAGAGGGGAATTAGAGAGAAATCTTGTAGCTGGACAAATAAGACTGATTTACCATTACTCCACCCTGAGACCATGACCATTTCTGAGTGGATTCTCCTTAGCTAAGTTGTGTATATTTGTTTAATTGCCTAATAAAACATATAGAACAGCTTCAATCCATTGAATAGTGTTAGAGCATGTCTGCTCTTCAAAAACTGCTAAGTTGCAAAGCTTAGCTCCATAGCCTTTGTTTCCTTTTATAGCTTCCCTTACTGAGATCATCAACTTCTCTGGCACCCTAGGCTTGTTTGCACATTTCCTATCTGTGGTATACATTTTAGCTGAGCTTCTGTTAAAGGGGCTTTAAATAGTCTCCCATTGTCCTTAAAGAATGTGACCCTTTTGACTCTCTTTTCCAATATCTTAACCAAAGGGTGAGAGAAAGCCAAAACAAAAGTCATGGACAAAAATGGCTGTTACTGTATTTGTTTGCAGGCTTTGTTCCTAAGCATATTCCCAACTTGCATTGATATTATTTCGGTGGCATCTTCATGGATTTCTGTGGACTGAGAATGGACTTGAAAGGAAAGTTTATTCTTTGAGATTTCAGGGGTAAATGAATGAATTCCACAA